TTAGAGGCCTATTCAAAGCAGAATATATATGATCAATTTTAGATAAGAAGGTTTATTTTGGGGTACAGAACATGCCAAAACTTAGGTAAAATCATGCCTTTCCGTCAGTATATTGTGTTTATTTATTTTATATTCTAGTGGTGGAGTATTCAGGTGACCATGAAATAAAAAACAACACTTAACAAAGGTTTGAAGACCAAGATGGTGTGGCCTTTTGTAGAGTCGCAGTTTACCCGCACAACTTGCAAGATAGATAAATTGGATTGCTCGAGGGTTTAATGCATAACATGCAGTGTTTGTAAGCAAAGTGTATTGACGAGACAGGAATAAAAATAAGCATAAAAATCTGAGAATATCCAACCCTCTACAGGAGAAAAGATAAAGAAAAATCAGAAATAGCGGAACCACTTTAGAGGCTGCACACGAGGTCAATTGTAAGACAACAGAAAGAGTCACATATGGAGAGAACGGAACGGAAAATTTTAGAGGTCGTCGATATTCTTACCGAAATAAAATTAATGAACACGAGATTGGAAGAAGGAAGAATTAGCGATAACTTTGCCTGTGCTTTGGAAAAACTTGAAAAGACAGAGATAAGAGAAGACCGGCAAAAAGTGACATATGGATTAAGGAACTATTGTTGATCAGAGGAAAAAGGATCGCAAGGAAGAAGTGGGTAAGGAATATTCGGAAATTAAGAGAAGTTTTCAATGAGTGCAGTGAGTTGGAGGAAACAACTAAAACTTTTGGGGACCTGGCGTACAAGGGAAATCATTTAACGAGTAAGGTAAAAAACGGATCTTTAGGACTATGAGGGAGATTCGGATAGGTTCAAGACGGATAAAAAATTCCCGAAAATCAAGAGGAAGGGCAAGGGAAAAAAGCAATGTGATAATGCTCCATTAAACTCTCCCAAAAGGGCATGCCTCTGGAGTACGAGAATACTAACAAGCTATTAGTTATGATAGCGATTGACGTACAAGGCTAGGGGATAGGTAGATGCACTAAGATAGGAGTGATAAAACAAGCGTTCGGCAAAAAGTTGGATAAGGGTTGGAGTTCATTTGTCTCTTAGACGAGTTATAGCTCGGTGCTTAGACCGGCAAAACTCACTGACGATGCCAGTGAAACGTCTGGGCATGTACAAAGTCAAAGGTCCGACGATGGTAATTATAATAACAGCTTTAGCGGAGGACTTCAGGCAAAGTACGTTCAACTGGGTTGCCCTGACAGCACAGCCAAGTTACGAAAACAAGATGAAACTACTTATAGAGAGCAAGTCAATTTAATTGTCAGTGTTTAAGGTCTAAAGTAGCCAATGACAGGCCTGCAGTCCTAGAGACAAGCAGACTTTTCACGCCTTTTAGTTCGTTTGGAAAGGCTTCACCGGGGACAATAGAGAATTGTCTTGGAATTTTAATGTGGATTCGCGCGAGGTTAAATAGACATACTTTAAGAAAATTCTCTAAGCTCTAAAATAAGAAAGGCAAAGCATTATTTCAAGCTCTGACGATGCCTGTAACGTGACATAAGAAAGCTTAGCAAGAATTCATCAGGATCGAAGGGCTATGCGCCAAGGCTTTCTCCGCACAATTCCAGCCAAAACTTCTTCGGTTTCCGGTATGGCCAATTTACGAACTCAATCCACCCTCATTTTCAAGGGAAAGGAAAGGTATGTAAACAAAGAGACAGACTGCCTCCATAATACACGGTTCCATGTCAGTCTGTTCACTACAACTTGTGCCAAAATCGACCAATCAGGCACGAGCGATAAACAAAGGCACAATAACTCAGCTGGAGTGTGTAGCAAAATGGTGAGGCAAAACCAAAATATAAGCGATAGTTCTCACTATATGCTATCAAGACGTCCCCTAATACGCGATTGTGCCAGATACGAGTTCACATGTGCATAAGCATTAGTGTGTGCGTGTGAAAAAAGTGACTCAGGGACAATTTTATTGTCGCGATGACTGGCAGTCTAGATGGACACAAGGCCAGTTCAAGTAAAAGCACACGAGGCTATGAGAAAACGGCAAGCTTGATATGAAGATCGACATGAAGGCCTTGATTGGCTAAACAAGTAAACCACGCCATGTATGTGGCGAGAGTGAAGATTTCAGAGGGCAGGATTTAGTAGTTCAAGTGCGGCCACTGACTCGGTTGAGCACACGGTGGAATATAAAATGATGATACAATGAGTGGACTGACGAGGCCACGGTAGTACAAACAGATACTGTGGAGTAAAGAAGCAAAATAAAGGTCGAAGAAATCAAACGTGATTCGCTATTTTGATGGAAGGACAAAGTTGAGGTAGAACAGCTTAGTAAAACTCGCTTCTCCCAGGGAGTGAGAAGCGAACGTGCACCAAGACTGTGGTTAACTTATAATTCATCTGTAAATAAAGCGAGGTTTTCATCGGAGATGGGTGAATGTAATGTAAATAAATTACCATCCAAGGTCGTGTTGTAAATTTAAATTTGAATAATTTTTTTTAGTAAGGGTACAAATCAGTGCAAAAACGTTTTAGGTCTTACCGTGTTCGAGGTTTCGAATATCGAATTGGTCCAACTGAAAGGTAGCTATCGGCTTTTCCGCCATAGTGCTAGTCTGTTTGGGCACAACTCCCTGAAACCCGAGTTCCGTCTGTGCCAACATAGTAGACGTAGTATTTATCGGTGATTTCTTCATCAGGCTGCTACCAGATGGCTCAACGGCAGTAGTCATATTTGCTTGGGCTGCTTGAAGTGCGAAGTTGTTTATCTCCCAGGCTTCTGCAAGACGGACGCTAGCGAAGGCTGAGCAAAGCTCTTCAGAGTCTACACCAGCTAATCCAGCATCTAAAAGCAGAAGGCGGAGTTCATCCGCATCACTCCTCGAAGTGTGAACTCCGTTTCCATCGCCTGATAGGCCCTGACCGATAGATACAGCTGGCCCTAACAGGCGATTAGTCGAATCATTATCACCGCCGTTCACCATGTTGGTAGCTGATTGACCAAGTATATCATCATTCAAGCCCTCACCAAGGGGTATAGGAGAGTTAGTAGTCCCTTGGCTAGGCCAAAGTGGATTGCCATGACAGCAGGTGGTTTGGGGAAGCTGAAACCCACCCGTCGAAATCCCATTCAAATGAGCGGCCAGATTCACTTTTCCTGCTGATGTCGAAGTAGCACTGTATTCCCCTGCACTGGAGACACCTTGCCGCATAAATCCCGCCAGGCTTTCCGAAGAGCCGGGCATATTCCGCTGGATTGCAGAAGCTAACAGGTGACCGGCAACTTGATCCGACTCCTTCCAGACCTGAGTTGCCCGCCATTTGGCTCGCGACTCTTTTCCAGCAAGTACAGCATTGAAGAGGAGAGGTTCACCAACCTAGTTAACAGAGTAAAAAGTATCGATTAAACATGAGTATAAGACTCTATAAGCTAATAACAATAAATCCTAAGTATATGAAATAGTAAATTTATGAAATCGATGATCAAGAAACCTTAAATTCACCCAACATAGAGACTTAACAGGACCAAGAAGATTCCATATATTAACCTCAAATATCAGTCCCTAGAATACAATTTAGAATGTTAAGATTTATGTAGCAAATTTTTGACAATCAGGTCGAGAAATAGAGAAAAGACTAAATTTTAAGTTATATTAATGGGGATCTGTCCTACTTAAGAGAAAGTATACAAAGGTATATGAAAAGAAGCTGAGTTTCTAAAAATTCCTTAGAAGATTGATACCAGCATACTTTTCATTTTGTTTGAGAAGGCGAGTGGAAGGGATTCGTAAATTATGGGAAGGTTGCCTTGGACTTGTGACTATTGAAATATGCGAAGACTTCGGCTCACCATCCTGCGACCCCGATGACTCCATACAAAGCTTTCACCCATCATGTGATGGACATCGTCATTGAGAAACCATTATTTACGAAAAGAGTGAATGGAAGGTCAGGGCCATGTATAAAGAAGTACTAACACTTTCCTCGGTCATGCCTTCTTTTAGAGATAGTTAGGGGGACCTTCATTTAAGATAAAAATGCATGAAGAAGAGATTCGTTGGTCGATCTCACCAGATAAGGATGGATGAATCTCGTTGTACTGCAGCCATTTGGCTTTTATACGATATTTATGTTGACGCAGTTTACAAGACTTTCTCCCTCGTTTCGGGTGAAAACGTGCTGAGTTTTCGTCCATCATATGATGGACATCCTCAGAGCTGGGTTTTATTCTTGTAAAAGTCTCACGTTGACACTAAAGCAAGAACACTAACCGGCTTAATCTAATTCTTATATAAACTCAATCTAGGCAAAAAATTAAAAATTAAAAACCTTCCATCCGAAATGAAGGTCCCCCTAACAATGTTATTTCAGGAGATTCATCAAAACCAAGTTTCTCTTCTTTTAGAAAATCTTCAGACACCCTCCGCAGATCAGGTTGTTATAAGGTTTTGTGATTGCGGCAATACTTATGGAGGAGACCTGTCGACCCATATATAAGAGGCTATCAGAACACAGAACCGCTTGCAAATGTTTATGGATCCATAAATTCGAGGTGGCTGAGCATATGATCACTACGGGACACAAGATAGAGTGGTCTTAAACCCAACGTTTTGCCATATATGGATACTTTACAGCCAAGCGAAATGGAGCAGATTGAAAGTAACAAAACAAAGAACATCCTAAATAAGCGGAACGAGTTTAGAAAACTAATCAAGAATTATCTCTGGCTGCTGGATAGAATGATAGAAGTAAAGCAAGGGAACAAGAAGAGCCATTGAATAAGAGAAGACTAAGCTTAAGTCTGGTTTGGGAACCAAAATTGCCAGCTAACTTATGAGTATTGTATACAAACAACACACACGCATCCACGAAGCTCTAACAAGCCCCAGGATTACAAGATCATATGGTAGTTTATTTACATAGATAAAAGTTGTGACCACATATGCTCCTCTTCCTGGATCAATTTCATTCGCACAAGTTCATGTAGGACAGACATAAAGTTTCAACCA